GGATAGACAAGAAGGTAGACAAAGCGTTTTAGCAATATACAGAGGATGTATTGATAAGGAGAACTTAAATTAATAACACAGAATCATTCTAAAATAATGACGAAAACTGTTATTGTTACAAAGCGGAATAAAACAAAATGAACGAACATTATTTTGAGCAGCAATCCGATCAAACGAATCGAAAATATATTTCAGAATGATCGGAAACTCGCTCTGATTTGTGAATAATATTGATTCCATGAAGTCATCAACGAATTTCTGCACTGTTCCTTTACTGCAAATGATTAAATTGTGGAAAGAGACTACTGCAGTTGATTTCATTAAATGAAAATTTCTGAAAATAACTTTCAAAGAATACGCCAGTTCTGAGGAGATACTTTACCTCGTAAGAAGTCTAGTTAAGAAAACTTCAGGAATAGATTTTGGTATTGACTGGTCAATCTTGTTGGTGATATTAAGCTTATCACTGGCACACTCCAAATGATAGTAGTGATTCGACGACGAGGATGCTGTCATTTGAGACGTTGTGTTCGTTGACTGCGTTGTGCTGTCTGAATTATTATTCAACTCTTATCAATCGTTCTCTTACTGAAGTGCATTTATCTACTCAAAGTAATTCTCTAATTGGAACTTTTATCTGAAAGCAATTCCTGGAAACAATTATAGTTGCTATTGGATGACGAGGATGTTGTTAATTCCCGGAAAACCTCAAATAATTTCTAAAAAAGCTGAACGTTTTGCCCAGTTTCGAGATTAAGTCCAAACTTGGTTCTTTCACTAACCCACCACCCAGAAGCTTTTGATTTTAAGCTCCTTGAGCAAAACCCAAAGCCTAGAGCCGAGCCTGAACCTGAACAGAACTTTAAAGCAATGCATCAAACGATGATAATAAGTGAACGCGAAAACGAACTGGCATAAGTATGTGAAATCGCAGGTTGCATATACAGTAAAGCATTATTTGGAATGCCATAATCAGAGATGCAATTCAACCGTTTGCTATTTGTTTTTAATATCAAATTATTATCATCATCAGATAATAACAATGATCCACGCTTTGGACATCTCCATTCTAAATAACATCATTATCAATATATTAATATAATGCAATATTCATCAACGAGTATCCCTCATCTTTGCAATAATTTCAAGTGATGATTCGTAACCCTCCAACAAAGATATCATTACATAATTTCCCATTCATAGTAAATATTTTGAGGAATTTAGACATTTCAAATCAAATAAAATCCGTATCCGTTCAATTTTCAAACGATTTCCGTTGACGTAACATATTTTTTTACTCCTCATTAAGTACAACACGATCAAC